GAGTCTAATGCTGGGAACAATAGATGGCAAAAGAAGAAGGGGACGGCAGAGAATGAAGTGGCTAGATGGAGTCACTGAAGCAGTTGGTGTGAGCTTAGGTGGACTCCGGGAGATGGTGGAGGACAGGAATGCCTGGAGGAATGTTGTCCATGGGGTTGCGATGGGTTGGACACGACTTTGCGACTAACAACAACATAGTCAGGAATGATCCAGCCTAATTTTATCACTTTAAAGTCCTGGTGATTTCAATCAAAAATAGTTAAGCAAGTGCTTCTTTGTACAGTCCCATACAAATTTACTTTTGAGTAAGCCCCACTGGGGAAATTACTTTTGAATAGACAGGTAAAGCATTGCACTATTAATATTGCATAAATCTGGCAAGATTATATTGAAGAGTGTTATCCAACTAGTATTTCCTGCTGATAAAATAGCATATGCTGGTGTAACAGTAAGGGTAGCATAGAGGAAGAGATTAAGGAGTGTTCAGTTGTGCAAACAGAAGTCTGCTTGCACAATGTTGGCTATCACCTGAATTAAAAAAAATCAGACAAGCACTTACATCTAGATAAAAGCAAGATAATCCCTGTTTTATATTTCAGCATTTATGCTGGGGCAAGCCCAAAACTACTTATACTCTTTAATATATTTTTCATTGGAATACATTCTTTTGTGCTGTATTCTTCTTCTGAAAAGTGAATATTATAGAAATAAATATTTATGGCTAGTTTGTGGAGCAAATAATGTCAACAATACAATTTATAAGTATGCCATTCCAGGCTGTTCTGCATTTCTGCACACAACATAAGGTGCAGTAACATAGATATTTGACTTTGCTATATGGTGCATATTTATGGCATACATTTCTGAAATCTGTATGAGCCCAAGAGAGCTTTATTGACATTTCTTGCCGTGCAAGGTTAAGAGAAATAATTGGTGTTAGAAAAAATGGCATTCTAATTGTGAAGTGCTGTACAGATACTGATTATATTGTTTTACATCAATATTGCAATATTTTTCCATAGCTTAAATAGAACAACACTAAGTGCAGAAGAGTTATATACCCTAAGAACTACATTTAAATTAGCTGCAACCATTCTTGAATCAATAAATAAAATGGAGTGATGTTTTTATTAACAAAACAATAACTACAGCTGCCAGACTCATCAAAAGGAATTGCAACATTATCTAATACATTTTTTTACAGGACAAGGCAATTGGTAACAGACTAAGACATGTTAATTCAAAGCAAGCTGTTAATGAATAAAAATCGTATAAAAGAAAAAAAACCAAGTATAAATCCTTCAATTTCTTCATGCAGATATTTGTCCATTTGTGTTATATGTTTGTTTTCAAGCTAAACTGAAGGACAATGTGCCAAGGTTCTACTTGCCCAGTGATACAACGACAGGATCAAGAAGGCACAGAATGCTAAACTATTTTTTGAATGGAAACTTCAAGGGCTTCTATCTATCCATTGTTGTTTCAAAGTAAGTAAAATAAAAGGTGAGAAAATGTGTGTTTCTTTTTCTTCTATGTATTAAGCTCAGACAATAATGGGACTAAGACACCAATGCCATTTAGAAGCAACTTAGTGTAGTATGGAAGTACATGAGGTGTGTTGCAGAAAGAGTCCCCAGAATATGTCTCAGTTTCATCCAGAAGTTCTCTTGGTGTACTTGGTTTAGAAGCTTGCCTAGATCTAAGACTCAATATCCAAATCTGATGCTCAAGAATTACAATACAACAGCAAATTAGCATGCATGTAGTACCTCTCCTAAGTGTCTACATGCATTATAATATACAAATATGTCACATTACTTCTGAAATCCTTACAATTCTATTCAGAAGGCTCATAGTATACATGAGATTCTGGATCCAATTTGAAAGAGTAACTCCAAAATTACTAGTTGTAGGAGGAATTTCTGGCTTTATGATTAAGCATCAGTGTAAATCTTTGAAAGGTACAGTTTTCCTATATTGCTCAATGTTTAGCTACGTATGATCCTAGTCTGCTAGAGAAACTAAATTGTATAGACATAGAGCTGTTTAGATAATCCATGCTAGATCCAAGCAGTCATTTGGGAAATACAGCAGATTATTTATTTATGTATGCCTCCAATACTAGATTGACATTTAATTGATAATTGGCTAATTATTTGCTTACATGCATGCAACTGAACTGGATGGAAGTTTGAAAGCGACCTTCTTAAATTTATCAGGAAGCAATTCAATCCCAGAAGCATATATTTTAGTCAAAGACTACTAACTTTTCTTGTTGCTTCCAAAGCAAGCTATAGTCTGGGAATACTTGAGAATGTTTCTTTTTTTAAATGCAAAGAAGGATAACCTAGTTAAGCACCATTTCTACTTTAACTGACCTGGAGATGGATTTGCTGCAAGAATTCCTGAAGAGATTTAGGCTTGGACCTTTTACTCCTCCTGTGTGGCTTTATTTTTCGGGGCCCAGATTCCTCTTCAGTAATAAGATCCACATAAATGAATTTGAAGTTCCCCACCTTGTTGTTTAGGAGTCCCGTCCACATGCCCATGGGGGTTTTACAGATGATGTCAATAATATCTCCTTTCTAGATCAAGAAAAACAAAATGGCACTTCAAAAGTAATTGATAACTTGTAATTTACACCAATGTAATTCAATTGATAAAAAGAAGGAGCTACCTTAGAAAATAAGACATAGGTCAAATATTTATGCACACTTGCTAACATAAGCAAACCTTGTTTTATATATATGTACACATTATGAAATTGGAAAGGATGGACAGAAATAGCTCAATTCAACTACATTGTTCAGAAACTGCTATAGTAAAGCTGCTTCAGCATTTTGATTCCATAATGGCCAGTTGGATACTTATGAAAAATCATGAACATAACAGCTGCCTTTTGCTTATGCTTCCCAGCACCTGTCATTGAGAGGGATACCACCTCTAATACTGCTGTAGGAGTGTGTGAATCGGTTATGTCTGAGCACATTGAAGTTCTCTGAAGTCCTCCATTAAGCTCTGTTCACCTTGTTCATATTCCTAAAAGTATCCTGCCCCCCCCACAAGGCTTCAACATTTTTTAAAACTGAGTTTTAAAATATACACTTTTTCTTAAATGAAAATTGCATTCTCATCAGGCTAGAACATGAAAACACATGTTTCAGAAGCAAATTGTGAAGATTTCCTGAGAGTGATATTCTTGCTTAAATTCAAGGTTCCAAAAGGAAACATTTGCTTGATGTACAAATAGAAGAAGGCTATCATGAGTGACTAGCCTTCTAGTCTTGATTGACTGATACCTCCAGTATCAGAGGTAGTATGTCTATGTACATATGGTACTCAGAAACCTGGGCATGTAGGAATTGTTGTATTCCTATCTGCTTGTGCGATCCTGTGGGAAGCTTGTTTGCTACTGTATAAACAGAATGCTGTTTAAATAAGACATTAGTCAGATTCAGCATAATTTTTCTTAAGTTCAGGAACAAAATGCTTGTATACCTTTAAACTGGAGGTATTTTAGTGCCATCAGAGCTAGTGACCATTGATAGTCTTATCTTCCATGAATGTTTAATTTATGTTTTATAGTTGTCCAGGTTGGTGACCATCATTATATCTTGTGGCACTGAATTTCACAGTTTAATGGTGCATGGTGTGAAGTCTTTCTTTTTATCTTTTCTGAATTTCCAACTATTCAGCTTCATGGAATGATTCTGGGTTCTTTTATTATGAGAGAAAAGAACCCTTCTCATTATCCACTTTTACCATACATAAATGAATACACTTCTATCAAGTCCCTTGAGATGCTCAGCATGTTTCATTAAGTTTTTCTGAATCAAAAGGGTGTTTCACTTGGTCCTAACTTTCAGAAACTGAATTTCTATTCAAGTAATAGAACTTTCTCACACCCTTTCACACTGAATTTCTCTCTGTCCCCTCACCAGATTTGATCCTTGGGCTTTGGGATTCTTATGAAAAAAATGGAAAGTGGAGTGTGGATAGGAAAACCAGGAAAGGGAAATTCCCATTTCCTTGTACAAGCAGAACAGTCTTTCTGCTCTCACAATGCAACCTTGCAAAGGCAAAATATTTAAATTAGCACAAAATAGGCTCACCAAATAGGACTTATTCAAATATCTCTATTAGGTAAATAACATGTTCTATTCCTAGAATGTTTGCATTAAATTATTGGTTTTAGAGAAGCTATTGGTTTTCTTTTCAACCACTTTAACAGAGAACATATCATTGGTATTTTCCTGTAATAACTAGCAATCTCTTTTTACCTAGGACACAAATTATTATTTCAGAATTCCCCATCAGCAGTGAATCAGCACTTAATCAAACCCCACTTCACCAAAACATAGATGTGAGACATCATCTTGTCTTTGCGAATATGGAAAAATAAAACACCTCTCCTCAGCAGGAATTAAAAAACTATAGCAGAATGTTTGTCAGCATTCTGTGAATTAAAAAAGAAAATGCTACAGAATTATTACTTAAGTCATTTTGGACTGAAATCTTAATGTGCCTTACAAATTATGGAGGAGCCATAGCTGAGTGATGGAGCATCTGCTTTGCATGTGGATGGTCCCATATCAATCCATGGCATCCCCATGTAGGGCTGGAAAAGCTCCTCCTGAAACCCTGTAGGGCTAAAACTGGGCTCAATGGACCAGTGAACTGAGTCAGTATAAGGCAGCTTTAATATTCCTAGGATTTTACAGAGTAAAGCAAATGTAACAGTTGCCTTACCTTGATTTTGAGAGAGTCGGTGTCATAAGGACTGGGTGTAAAATCTGTATGTACTTTGGCTCTACCACAGAATGGTCCGGTATAAGGGCTTTCATCATCAAGCTTCAGGCTGTCCCTGTTGCTTGTCCCATCTGAGCAACTAGTCACCCCACCTAGAAGTAGTAAGGATGGTCAACCTTACATCACATCTTAGTTGGGCACCAGTGAAGCCAAAAATCTCCACAGGAAATCATGGAAAAGATACAGTTTACAGAAAGATCACTAGTGTAAACAAGTTGTGGTTGTCTAAATACAGGAGGCAGGGTGGATGCAATTCAGCTAAAGTTAAGCATTTTATAGTCGTATTGAATCCAAATCTGTGAGATTTAGCAGTGCTTATGTTTGGCTGGATCATGCCCCATGTAATTAATTAACATATGCTGCAGGGTAATCCTGATTTGTGATGATGTGCTAACAGATGGACAATTTGGTCCTCAAAGTCCTGAAACAGCACACATGCCATTAAAATTATCAAAGTCTGCATCAGCAGAGCTCTGTGAAGACAGGAGCCTGGAAAAATAATGTGTGCTTTTAATGTACTATTTAAACAATCATCTGTTGAATGTTTCCTCTTTATTCCAGCAAATGGGAACAAGATTATACTGTGGATGTCTCAGAGTATGCGAGGGAAAGCACTTCAGAAGCACGCATTGCAGAGGAGAATGTTTTAGGCTCCAGATCTCTGTCACTCTGTCAGAGCTGTGTCAGCACATTTGGGCAAGCACAATCATATTCTGTTCAACTCTGCTTTAGCTAACAGCAGCAGCACCTTGAATGTATTTTCCCTTGCGAATCTGATAATGGAACAAGAAAATAATTGCACTTGATGCAGTTGCTTAATAACACACGACAGAAGAATAAATACAATTGATGGGTCATGAGAACGCTTGACTCCCAACCCCTTCAGCTTCTTTAAGAAGTGCTGCACCCACAAAAAGGGAAGAAGCCACAACTTTTCTCCGTGTGGGGTCTCCTATATTCACCCTGTGCTGTGGGGGAAGACAGGAGTTCCCATTTCCCCTCACAGCAGGTGGAGGATGAAGATGAACTATGGGAATGGCTGCATTACCCTTTGTGACAACAGGACTGTAAAATTGTGGGGAGGCATTCTGGGTTTCATCCTAGAAACCTAATGGTTTATAAGCCTCTCACATCCAAAAATTTGGTTAGATAGATATTTGGTTGTTTGGTTTTGGTTTTACATATGGCTTAGATGGCACCACACCACCTTTTCCAGAGGTTTTGTGCTCCACGTGAAAGATTCAGGGTCCTAGAAAGATTCAGGGTCCTAGCATTAGGGGGTCACCTCCTCACACCACTTCTGGGGTAAATAAACAAAAGCTCAATCTAGACAGGATGGATACTAAAGGTAAGAAATCCAAATTATCTAGGTATTTATAAATTCTTTGTTTTGGATAGAGTTGCATTTTCCTAGGAATCAGATCTATCATTTGCACATGCTATTTCTAGAACCTCACTTGGTGGCTGTGGTAAAGAATGGCTTTTACTAGCATAGTTTACCAGCTGCAATTGCTTCTGTAAATTGGTGATTTGGCTACCATCTTACAGATTTTGGCAACCTTTAAGCTGAACCATCGTAGTATGTTGTATGTGGAGCAGCTTTTGAAAATTACTTCAGGTGGTTAAAAAGGCAGCAACCCAGTTACTGGCTAGAAATGACTTCCAAACAGAGAGCTCTTTCAATCTGTCAGTTTCTTGCTTGTTTCTAAGCAAAATTCAAAGTGCTGGCATAAGTGCTGAAAGCACTAAACTTCCTTAAGCCACCCTAACATCTTACCCCTTGGTGAATCCCCTTTGTAGACTATAGGCACCTGAGGATCCCTGGTTTCTTCTCAGTTGCACCCTTGCAACAGACTGTAGTCATCACAACAAACAGCAGGGGCTTTTCTGCAGTGGCACTTTCACTGTGGAACTCCCTTCTCAGGTCAACCCAATTTCCATCATTAACTTGTTCCAACAAGCTTTGTTAGTTAGATGAGCTAGCCCTCGTATAGGTATCCTAGATCTTTTAGATCCCTTTACTGTTTTGGTATGTTGTTACATGTTGTTATGCATATGTGCAAATTACAGCTATTTTAGGAAATGTCACTAACTGCCCTAAAGGCCCATTCTTGGTGGGGAATACAAAGCTTTGAATAAAATAGAGAAGACCCAACTACCCAGGTTCAGAGTGCTCACTTTAGGGTAAGACCAGGTCACCTGAATGAACTTGTCTGCAGGAACCACACCTGCAGAATACTGGCTTACATGGAGCATTTAAAATGACAGAAGCCACATCTCTTTCAAAATGTGGTTAACCTAGACCTAGGACACGAACATTGAACTGATATGTCAGTGAACAATTCTGTTTTACAGCAGAGTTATGCTCTAGCTCAAAAGACTCAAATGGGATGCTTTAGTGTCGTTAATCAATTCTATTAGACAGAATGACAATATAAAAGCTTACATAAGAATTTCTCATTGAAAGCATATGATAGCAAAAGTGCCTATCAGTGTTTGCCATGTGAACACTGTGTCTCACAAGATAGTAGCTGATCCATAATTTTTATCTGTATTGACAATAAGGTTGAGCATGTCCTAGGACACACTTTTTATGGATGTACGTACAATGGAAAGAGAAAGAGAGAAAAGATTCAGACTGCAAGACTAAACATACTAGCAGCAAATCCTACGGAACACTGTGGGAATTAATTCCAAGTCAACAGACACAGGAATGTACTATCAACTTTTTCTAAAAAAAAAGAAAAAGAAATTTGGCCTTCTTTCCTTTATGGTCATCTCATAGTCTTTCAACATATATTGCATTCTGCTTGAATGTTAGCTACTCATGTAAGTGAACAATGCTATGCTCTTTGAGAAGATTCTCTGAGAATGGAAACTCCATTCCATCTGATGCCCTTGTCACCTTGCTGACAGGGCAGTCGCTTGATGGAAGGTGGGGATTGCTGTACTTTTTTTCTTCTTATATATAGTTGAGGAGGGGGCAGCTCCTCCTATTACTAGCAGTAGGAGCTGATTAGATAAGCTCTTGAGTGGGGCCAAATCCTTCCTACAGATCAGAGTGTGACTGGGGACTGAGAAGTCATTGGATTCATCAGATTCATGTCACCCCTGCCACATCTGTTTCTGACCTCCTCTTATCCAAGGTTGTAATTCTGATCCTGGAAGAGGAAGTCACTCCAGAAGTTGGTGGCTGGGAGAATCTAAGTGGAGGTGAAGTTGATGATCAGTAGCTGGATCTCTCCAAGGTAGAGCACTATCTCCAGCCTCAAAGGTGGAAAAGCACTGCACCAGTGACCCTTGGCATGAAGACTAGGGGCTCCAGGACTGCTCTTTAAATATATGGGAGCAAAAATGAGTGAGCCTTATTTCTTTCTTTAAAAAATAAATTTCTTCCAGAAATTCTTCTAAATTGCCACCAAAACAAAAGTCTGTAAAATGCTTCATATGAATGTTATTAAATAACAAGGACATTGATCTGGTGTAGGAAGTAATCTAATGAATATTTAAATAGAGAAAGGGGCTGGGGAATGCTGGGAGTTGGAGGATTTATTACTGTCTAAATATGCATAAGATAGTATACTCGGTGACAAGAAGTTTAGAAGTGGCAATACTTTCTTCCTTCTAAGCCCCATTGCTGTGCAGAGGTTTTAAGAGTGGGCTAAACTTCTCCCCCAAGTGAGGTATGATTGTGTGTCATGTGTTGTTTAACCTTTAGTTGCACTTCTGTCCCCTAAAAACTGTTGAATTTCAGCTAATCTGATCATGTTTATTTTAAAACAGCATTCAAAACATCTGTCATTTAAAGTGGGCCAGTATGCATGCTCAAGCAGAACACGTCCAGAAAACGGTCCCATAGCTCCCAACATTTCCTAGGCAGCATGGCTGGCTGTAGAATGCTGGAAGTTATCACACATTTTTCTGTCTAAGCATGCATAGGATTGTGCTCTAATTTAATTAATTGATTTTAGGCTGGCTGTTTTTCCTTTTCTGTGTTGCTTCTGTTTAGTTTGCTACAAATTATATTTTAACAATTTGATTATTATTATGGTTTTGCTATTTTGTCAAGTGCTCTAAAGGGAAAACTGGGATAGAAATGGCATCCGTAAGTAAATAAATAAATGCAAGCATTGTGATGCTACAAAGCATTCATTTGATATTGTGCATTATCATATGCATATGTATAAAAGACACAGGAAATGTTCAGCTGCTAGAATGCTAATTCTCATTTGGCAAGATGCCCCCACCGCTGCTGCCCCACAGCCATCACCTGGAGTGGTACATCATCATGTTTGCTTCTCTGGGCAGCCTGTGATTTGGGTTGGGTGGGACAATCTCTTGGGATGGGGTGGATATGATGGACAGAAGAGCTTGACCAAAGCAATGGCTAGAATGCTGTATCCCTTCCTTTCTAGTCATATGGTTATTTCCATCCATTTAAAATGTATTGGTCAGCATATAAGGGGTTTTTCTGGAACTTACTTGAGGAGCTTCGGCCACTATTAAGACTATAGAGGCTGTCCATGGAGTCGCTGGTCTTTAGAGAGATCTTCTCAGTATTTGATCCTCCCCCTGGGTCACTGTCCCTATTAGAACAGGAGTGGTCTGTTCCTTCGTCATTCTTGAGAACACAAAAAGAGAATATTTTAACTATAAAGAAATATATTTCATACATACGTTGACTCATGAGCATATGTTCATTGGGACTGCAATTCTATGTGCCAAGGGAGGATGTCCCAGAGACCAGAGCATTCTGCCCTCCCAGTTTTCCCTTTCTAAGGATGAAGGAGATTTAGAGAATGAAACACGATCATTTGCAAGCAGAAACATCTACAGCTGGTGCTTCTCCTGGAAGGACATGGACATCAGAAAACCTCCAAGAAAGTGTTTTTCAAGAGCAGACCCACAGTCTTCTGGTGCTCCAGTGTACCCTGAGAACAGTGGTAGAACTACCAGAGCCTAGTTAGTTACTTTCTCTGTCATTGCCTTCAATGGGGGAGAAACCATTTAAAAAAAGAAAAAATGAGGGGGTATTGTTCTCTCCCTCCCTCTCCACCCTGCTCTGCCCTGCCCTGCCCTGCCAGCATAAGCATGTTGTGTGTGCTGGATTTTTCAATCTGATGTTGAAGCTGCATGCACAGGCACACAGAAGATTAGCCCATTAACATTGCAGAGTAACAAGCCCAAAAGATATAAATGTGATTTAGTTCATCTACAATTATCAAGCAGAACTTGTTCAATGCTCTAAATGCTTCCAGGGAAATAGGAATCAACTTAATGACAGACCTGACATTGCACCTGCATCAAAACTGATTAGGAGCTAAACAGGATTCAAAATTACTTAGAATGTTCTTCTGTGTATTCCAAAGGCTCCCTGATGTAGTAAAGCTCCACCAGCTACAAAAACAAACTCTGTAAGGGTGATTAGATGATTTCATTCTGTCATGTCAATGCAAGAGATATCAGAAAAACTGTAGTTTGCATGACACCCCTAGAGGTTATGAGACTGGTCCACCCAAGAGGGCTTTGGATTTAGCAGATCCAGCTCCCATTAGAGTAACTTCTCCATTTCCAATGGTTTCACCAGTGCCATGAGTAAATGCAGTGTGTTTGTATTTGTGTGTGTGTGTGTGCACAAACCAAGAGCAGTGATCCAGAAGAGAGTAAGGCTGCACAAGATCCAAGCAAATTTGGCAAGGAAGATACAATTTCCAGCCCTTGAAAAAATAGTTGACTCTTGTTCTGTTTTCTATGCAATCACTGTCAAGCTTACAATAAATTTGTATTCAGAATTCAAAGCTCTAATAAGATATCTAATTTTGAGTCAGTATACATAATATTAGTAAATGGGGGTTTCCCCACCCCAAATGGATAGGTACTGTAACAGCAGGTCAACTTGGTATCTGTCACTATGCACATTACAATATTTAAGCAATAATAGTGCCATAAATAAAGAGGAAGCAGGGAAGCAACATCTTCCTAATGTTGCGTCACATCAAGCCACTTTGACACACATGCCAAAGAGGAGATAGTATGTTCCTTGGAAGATTACAACACCTTTACTAGAGCAGCATACGTAATTGGTCTGGGTGAGTGGGACCGCAAGATGACTCATTCTGAGATAGCGTGAGAAGCTCAAGTTCCTGTGATGGGATGTATTCAAATAGAGAAAGAACTACTTCTTTGGGTCAATCAAATTTTAACTGGCCTGACATTCTAGATTAGAATGACAAGAGCTTCAAATGCATTATAGTTTAGGAATCTCCCATAAGATAATAATTCCATGTATTTTTCCTATGATGCCTATTATAGGATACTTATAGTTGTAAATGTATAATTATTATTTTTGGGCTCATTCATACCTCCTTAGGTAGAATTAAATATTCTTTGTTGACTCATTAATGTATTAACTGGCCCTATCAAACAATATCTTATGTCTCCTGGTAATGTTGCTATTGTTTTACATCCAGCCTACTTGTGTTAATCAGTTATTTTACCACACATAGCTCTTTATATATAGAACTAGTATATACACTATATATAAAACATGTGCAGTTTATTTATTTTATAGAGCTGCTATAGGAGAAGTTCACTGGGTTTGTTCTAGTTCTACTATTGCTGGTATAACTGTTCATAACTTTAAGAAGCATGGGCAGCTGAGGCTGAGTCTATAGCTGCTGAGTCTATGCCATTTCAGGCAGTAGGCAGGGATTTGCATTTCTGAATGTATCCCCATGCTTTAAAAAAAAAAACAAGCCGCCCTGCAAGTAGGAAACCAGGACAGCAACAAGCAGGCACAGTTGTGATCTTTCATCCTGATGTGCTAGTTTTCTACTGATATGATAGCACTCTACAAGTACCTGAAAGGCTGTCACAAAGAGGAATGACAGTATCTCTTCTCATCCATTCCAGAGTGCAGGGATTGGAATAACAGACTTAAGTTAAAAGAAACCATAGAATTTCTATGCTGTCAGAGCAGTGCAACAATGGAATCTATTACCTGGAGAGGTTGTGGGTGCTTCCTCACTAGAAACATTAAAAAAGCATCTGGATAGTCATTTGAATGGGATGGTGTAACTTAGTGTCCTGCAATGTCAGGGGTTGGACCTAATGGCCTTCTGACCCCATCCAACTCTACTATTCTATGATTCTACTTTCAGGATGTAAGTAGAATAGAAGACAGTTCAGAAAGAGTGCATGCAGTTTGAAGTGGTCTAGTCCATTTCATCACACTATTCAGTGCCTCTATAATGGTTAGAGTGAGGACCCATGACATCTGGGTTCTAGTCCCCACTCAGACACAAAATTCACTTGGGTGAGTTTGGGCCATTCGCTAATTCTCAGCCTAAATAAGATTGAGAGGAAGAGGAAGATTATTTAAGCCACCTTGAGTTCCCTGAAGGAAAAGGGGTGGGGTATAAATATAATAAATAAATAACTATCCTCTGTGTACTTATCTGGAATATTCCTTACTTGTACAACATGTTATCTCTTGTTTTCTTTAAAAGGTGAAAAATTCTAATAGTTGAGACTTCCTTTGCATGACAACCCTCTCATAACTCTTACAATTTCTACTAATCTTTGAATGTATTCATCTTCTATCACATCCTCTAAGTTTGTAACACAAGGCATACAAGACTTGGTTAGAATGTACCATTTCCTTACAGAAGGAAGTGGTAATATATAATTTTTTGTCCCCTGAATTATAATCACTAAGATTGTTTGTTTTTTCAAGATTTCAGTAGCCTGAGTTGACATTTCTGGAAGTTTGCACAGTGACTCCATAATTCCTCTCTGGCAGTAATCACTTACTATAATGCCTAACAACACATAAGTAGAATGGGGTTCTTTTTTCCCAAGGTGCATTTCTTATTTTTAATGAACAGCTCTTATTTTTTTTCCCAGTCTCCTGCATCATCAAGATCCTTTGATAATTCTTCAGTTCTTTTGTAAAAGTCTGCCACTTCACTTTTCACAGTCTTTATCAGTCTTTTCAGAGCAATGTTTTTTTAAAAGTCACAATACAGTTCACTGGACCATTTCACTGAATGCATCTTCAAGTGAAAGGCTTGCCTGATGCCTACCATCTATTCAGCCTTTAATTTGGATGAGGGCTTAGCCTTAGCCCAAACATCTGTTTGAAAGAACAACTGCTTCACAGAACAAGTGAGGTAATAGTAAGGACAAGTTCCCCTGAGCGAGTGCCATATGCATTCTTGTCACCACTAGGACAAAATTACCATTTCCATACAAGGGCATACAACAGATGAGATAACTGCTTTTCCTAGCATTTCTAGGCAGTATCCTGTTCAGTATCCAGGGAATCCTGTTGCACCAGCAAATGCTATTGGCATTGCACTAGAGGCAGCTTATGTTGGCAAGATATAATTTAGGGTGGCACTTGTGCTGAATAGGATACTGCCCTCTTCTTTTTCCCTGATCATATCACTGTATGGAGGATAGGAATAAGGAGGGGAAGGAGCTGAAGAGGCAAACAGAGAAATCTACTGAAAGATGGCAGGAGACAGAGAGAGAGAAGGGAAATGGAGGAAATGGAGAAAGAGAAAAAGAGTGGGGAGCATAGAAAGAGAGGAGTAAAGAGAAAAGCTGGAAGGGGGATAAAAGAAGGGAAAGGGAAGAAGGGGGGAAAGAGAGGTGAAGAGAAAAGAGAGAATGTAGAAAGAGGAAAGTGGTGGGGGGAATAGGTGAAGAGAGAGAGAAGAGAGAGAGAGAGGTGGGGCAAGGGAGAGCAAGAGAGAGAAGAAAAGAAAGAACCAAGGGAGTGAGAAAAGGTGGAAGAAAAATGACGTGTGTGTGTGTGTGTGTGTCAGACAGAGAAAGAGAGAGAATGTAAGACTGTGTAAAGTGATTCTTGTCCCATTCACATTTGTTTATAGTTTTACTCACAATTGGCACGTGCTGGCCTCAACAGCTTCTGCCAAATGTCTACCCATTATTTCTATCTCATCCTCTCCTCTCCTTCACAGCCTTGAACCACATGCTGTCTTGTCTGGATGTCACGGCTTCTTCAATTTCCTCTCTTCCAGGTAGACTCAAACATTTTTGTTCCCCACTGGCAAGTTGCCTGTGCTATGCCACTCACAGTTTGATGAACCCAAACTGGATTTCCCTTCATTCACTTATTTTATTCTAATCCCATCTCCAGCCACTCTCTCTATGACCAGATGGTACAAGTCCTGTCTTCTCTTCATATGGGTTTACATAAGAGAAAGCTTTTGAAACTCCATAGCCCAGATTTAAGGTGAATCCTGTTTTGATATTAACGCTGAAAGTACCATGCTCATGTTCCATTTTAAAGGACCTCATGTGCAGGAATGGCATGCACAATTAGCTTCACATGAAGATTTCTGCACACTCACTAGGTCTGGTGGAGGGCGGTTGGTGTGAGTAAGCCTAAACTGTGGGGCTGAGCTCAAAAAGTGTAAAAAAGCACTGGTCTAACTATTAGTTTGCAGTACCACTACAATGTTGGTAATATTGCCTTGATACAGTGACTGAAATCCTCTGGATCAATACGTTGTTACACAGCTGAGTATGAAATAATGTGCAGAGACCAAAACTCAAATGCCAACAGTAAAATCACAAACAGTCATAGAAGATTTTAGTGAGAAGTGTTTACCGTCTCTTCAAGTGCCCTGATGTACTTTTTGCCCATCTTCTTCTTCATCGTCATGGAAATAGCCCGCATTTTCTTTCCAAGGCTCCCTCCATTATTTGGCATTTTGTTTTGTCCCAGTTCTCCACCATCACTTATAGCATCCACCTCACACATCTATACAGACAAGTAAACAGATAGACAGCCATTTTTTTTAAAGTTAAAAGATGTGATGAACCAGCAGTACAGAGTCTACTTCTGGCACTTGATTCACAGCAGTAACAGGCTTGATTCTCATGACCAGCCATTCGATCATAGCAGATGGATTGTGCAAGGGTTTCATCAGGAGAATTCCTAAATGCAGTTGCTAGGTCACCACTGGTAGATACATATTTGCTCTGGTGAGAGCATAGGATCAAGGACAGCCCTTGCGCTTCTTCTGTGCCTGGAGAAATGTGATAACCAGGCTGACTCCAGAAACATGGGATAGATACAGGGCTGCTGCACCAGGGATGCTGGAGTCAAATGCAATGAGTCAAATGAGTTCAGATTTATTTGACTCTGACCTGCAGATTTCACTGCAGACCTGCTTTGTCTGGATTTGGTGGAGTCCGTGGAATTGCAAAACTGGTTCCTGTCTGTCTGTTTCAGACTTTTGAGTGGTTTGCACAAATGTACCTGTGAACAAGTGCATATCTACCTTAGTGCAAATCTGTATTAGTGCTAATACACCCTTGGACAAATGCATATATAAAGAGTAGCAACATTCTAAACTAACAAAAAATCCTCTCCAAAATCCTATTTTATCAAAGAGAAGATGACATAAAAAAGGAAGGTACATGACAATTATCAAAACACAGACAGAAGAGATTTAATGAACTGTACACATCCCTACACTTCACTGAACCTCCAAGACACTGAGTGAGCTGTAAAACTTTCTATAGGTGGCCTGTAAATATATGAACAAACAAACAAGCAAACAAACTTTTTGATGATTTCTGAATGTTTAATGCTTAATCCAATGTGCTCCCATGTCTTTTTTCACCCCTCAAAGACCATAGGAACTCTGTTCATCCAGTTGTGCTGGGTCCTTACCTCAGTGTAAACCCTATTCCCCACCCCTAGAGGAAGTTCATAGAGTCGTGATGAAACCAACTGAGTTGATTATCTGGGGGAGCCAAGGTTCACTGATGCTGGCCACCAAAATTCCCAGGTTCTGTTTGGCCACTGCAGCCTTTCAAGAGCATGGCAGCCAGGCTGATAACTAGCAACATCATGCAGAAAATAATTTGTTTTCCTACACCATAAACTGGGGAAAAGATTTCTAGCTTTTCTGCTTCTAGAGATTTGAGTTTGACTATAGCAAAAACAAAAACAAAATAAAGAGTTTGTGAATACTTTGCTGAAATCTATATTAATTCATCTAGCCAGGGAAAATTCCATGGTGTTTTGCATAATGTGCTTTGTTTTGTTTGTACTAAAGTGATGAGGACAAAGTGAAAAATAACTAAATGGAATGGTATACAAACCTCTGGTGAATCGTCTGATTTTGATACTGAGTGATGTCTGCGATTATCAAAGTTCCCAAAGCTGCTTGTTCGCTATAAGAAAGAAAATAAATGTTTATATATAAAGAATAGAAAGTCATTATATGTAGAATTGTGGACACAAAGATTTCATAAATGATATTTTGGGTTATATTTTGCACATCAGTATTAATGATACTGATTGTTCTGTATTAATAATTCTTCAGTATTAATAATTGTCATACATTCAGGGTTTACAGTGAAAAAATGTTATAGATGAAATAATTACACTTTTACAAAGCTGGAAAATATCCATTGTCACTTCGTCTAAACTGCAGTCCCAAGGGAAGGCTTCAGTCAATTGCATGCAGGTCGGACCACTTCATCCAGTCTACGTGTGCCACAAGCAGAGCAAATAGCTCTAGCTGATTTCAGGAAATAAATTAAGCCATATAGCTTTGTTTTCTCTTGTGCATATGTGTTCATGAGGATATTATGAGGAGTCCTTGAACTAAGGATCACCAAAACAAAGTACACATTCAATTTTGTGGAAGGTCTTGGGAGCCATATTCCAGTGGTGGGCAGGAACAAAGGCTGAAAAGTCCCATGTTGAGTAGATATCAGAAATGGTGAGTAAAGGCGAAGAGAAAATTCCAGTGATGGGGTCTCACAACCTAGCATGTCCTCTGTTTGTTTGTCAGTTAACTCACCTGGGTTGGTGGAGGCACATAGAAGATGGCCTCCATAGATCAAAGTGGTAGAGCCTCTTTCAGCCGGAGGGGCAACATGTCAGAGAAATGTTTAGGAGCTTCATTACAATGGTGGATGAAGCAAGGAAAGGGGGTCAGGGCCAAAAAATAATTTAAAAACCCAATGTATATTGTAGCTCTTATTTCCAGTAACTATATCTTCAGAGAGGCATTTCAGCTTTTTAGGAAGGGAAGCAAGAGTTAACAAAAGTGGGAAAACCACCAAGCAATCAAGGGAGAGAAAGGGTGGGGCCAGGGAAAGAGGGTAAATTTATCTGGCTAACCCTTCTTCTTGCTGCTGCTGCTGCTCTTCATCATTATCATCTGCTTGTTGTTGTTGTTATTACTGTTATTTCATTGCTATACCACCCCACAGCAGAAGCTGTCTGGGTGGTTTAGTCTGGGCCTGAATCTTTCTGCCAGGTCTAAGGTTTCTCACCCATGATTTAAGGAGAAAATTATTTCTCCACTTGCTTCTGTATTTATTTATTATGTATACCACCCAACAGCAGAAGGGTTCCAGGTGATTCACAACAGCACATTAAAAATACTATAAAATGTACTACATTAAAACATCATAAAAATTTACACTACAAATTTAAAACCAAATTTAAAACACACACACACAAACTAATTTGAAAATCTTCAAGTTATAACACTACCCAGCATACCTTTCATGCATTTCATCAAAAGTTGATTTCAGCATAAACCTGATTAGGATTTACATGGATATTCATCATTACACACAAGAAACATGTAAAGGTTTGAACAGTATAATTAGCATTTTAAAAATGGGATCCAAGTGAACATTCCAAGGTTCCTAAACTTTTCATTGCTCAGGTAAGAGTCAAACCACAGGGTCCCATGTCAACATATCTGTTACTAAGCCACTGTTGAGTGCAAGCAATTTAGATAAATTACAGCCCAGCAATTATGCCAGCAGTATGTAAACAGTTTTCCAGCGGTGAGTCTCTGAGTACAGTGGTTGAGGCAGCTGAAGTGATCCCTTATACTCAGCCATTGCTTCACATAGAGAAAAGTGACAGTCCAACCTGGTGCCTCTGGTATTCAGATACTATCATCACAGCATGGTATGCTGCTTTTCTCCCCCAGGCCAAGCTGCAAGAAAAGCCTGGTCTACACAGCTAGAGGAATGAGGTGGCAGAATCCTGAGAGTAGAATTGAATTCTACCATTCCAGAGGAAGAAACATTTATTATGGTTCTCCCCCGACACCCCTTTCTGTGTCGTCTTGTAAATGAAATGCCAATGCAGCTCTCAGAGGGCTGGTCAATGTCTCCCTGCTTTGCTAGTTTTCTTTTGATGGGAAGTGGAATTTAGGTGTGGGAATTTAAACACTGTATGTTTGATTTGCAGTTTGAAGGAATATAATCTACACCTGCTGCTTCAGGCCTTTATCCCCTTGTATATGTAGAGCAGAACAGGATCGGTGTCCAAAATAGCAGTTGAAAGGACACTTACATAAAAATAAATTCCACTGATATAACTGGGATTTTCTTTCAAGTGGATATGTTTAGAATTGGGGTGTCATGGCTGGATCCAAAGCCATTCATTCACTCATTCTAGAAATTTAAAACACCAAATACAAATGATAACAATAAAAATAAAGGCATCAATAAAACAGTGACTGAAATTTATTTATCAGCCAGGAACTTAAACAAAAGTATTCACTCAAAAATAAGTGTCTCTGTGTGTGTTTTTCCTATGTGTATGCTTGATCCCAGTTGGAAGTTGAAGGGAACAGACCCACTGAAGGACCTACTCTTGCTGGTTTTCAAATCCCTAATCCATGTGGGACCATAGACATGTATCTTCAGAATACCTCAGAGACCAGGCAGTATGATAAAGGAGAAGGTGTGTTATTAAGGTATAGCTGGTCCTTTAGGCAACCAAAGGAGGGCCTTCAGCAAAGGTGTTGCATAATGATATGGGGTGGCCTGTGACAACAGCCTGACACTAGCTGATGAGTTTCCTGATGAGACTTAAGTTCCAGGTAGAGCGCATTGCACCAATTCATTCTTGAGGTTACAACACCTGCACTACAGTAGCCAAATTGTTCCTGTATGAGAGTGATTTTAGCTGGCATAGCAGATGAAGTTCTAAAAAAAGCACTCTGAGTCACTAAGATCACTTAAGCCTCCACTAACTCCCACAAACTTCAAAATAGGTCTTCAGGTCATTTAGTTTGAATAACTACTACTCACCCACAGGGTCTTCATCTTACCAAGATCCAATCTTAGTTGACTGGTTCTCATATAGATCATTACCAAGTCCAGTCACCAGTCAAGGCCTTGTATCGCCACAACCAGTGCAGATATTACAGCAAGTTAGAGCTACATGTCATACCCATGACACTTTTCTCCAAAATACTGAATTACCACCACAGTGGCTTCACATGGATGTTAAATAACACTGGGGACAAAAAAGTGCAGCTCAAGAGATGAGAATATTAATGCAATATTACTTTCTGAAACTAACCTTGCAGATAGGAATGGAACCACTGAAGTACACTGCCACCAACACCCTTCTATACCATGATTGATAGTGCCATCAATAACAAGAGAATGAATCAAATCGACAGGGTCATACAGTAGGGTAGGTTCCATCCATCAGAGTGGCCTGGGTCAGTTCAGTTTCATAAACAGGCCTGTGATCCAATTGGAATGGGCCTTGATAAGTATCATCCACCATGACCACCTGCAACTAGCACACCATGACCTTAAGCTAAAAGGAGTTATAAGCAACTGGGTGGTATTTATCCAAATCTATAGGATCCTGAGTGTATTTCTGCTAAAGTGGCCTTGTTACTACTTCCTTAAGTGCAACAGGTGGCACAACCTCACATATAGTGCACCCTGACTCACCTGGTGCCCTGTCACAGCCCCCATGAGTTTTTATTAGCTATGAAGGGCCAAGTTGAAGAGGGCATGTGCCTGGATGCACTGTTGCAACTACCTTCTCCACTTCATCAGGCCATACTAATGGAAACTAATGCCATCAGATCATGCTCAGGTCACACCTATGGAAATTAATGCAGCGTATTGCCAACTTCAGTCATGAGTCCACTATAACCATGACTGCATGTGGCTCCAAACCTACATTGTCTGATTTCACATGAATTCTGTAAAGTGCATAAACATGTAAGAATCCTGGGTTTTGTTCTTGAAGGGCACAATCCTATGCAAGAATGGAGCAGGATTTGGGACCACAGCAAAGAAGCACAAGGACTTGAATGTTTCCCAACCATACTGCTGTCTTAGCTAAAATCCCCCAAACTATTAGCGCATGAAAGGAATCTCTACTAGCAAAGTTTCAGTTAGCACTCCACCCCCATAGGAACCTTGGCCCCAGTCCTGTTCCCTGTTAAACTCATTCACATTTAGCATCATGTCTGTTTTGGTCCTTAATTAGATGTATTTCAGCAGTGCATTTCTGGTTGAAACCAACTTTCTTTATATGCCCTAAAAAGTGAATGGGTACTGCTTATACTTTTTGGCCTATATGATTAATACATAGTCAAAGGTGTTCAGTGTTGACTCAGTGGCGCAAAACCTGGAAGTGACAAGGGGCAGCTCAACAGTGTGGTATAAACAGTTCCAGAGATTAAGGGTCTATCAAGAAGGAGAAACCCTTCCTGCTGAACATGCCCCACTGCACTGTGGAAAGATGGAATGGAGTGAGGGGCAGACCAGGGCCGGATGAAGTGTAGAACAATCCTGGTTAATTGGGGAACAGGCCATGGTGCAGACTGAATATCCAAAGCTTTTCTGCAACATTTGGGATGCCTACTATGAATTGCTGCTTACTGAAGTGCCAATGTGATAGTGCGACACTGAAGAGCAGAGGGGAAATAATGCTTAGCGTGGCTGTTCTCATAAACAGCCGGAGCTCAGGGAAATCAGTTATTCCTTCAGAGCCTCACAACAATCTTATATCCTATCCAAACAGAGGCCGTGGGCTATTTTGTCATGTACCTTAGTGTTGCTCCATACTTATTAAACATTAATAAGGATCAGAGGATGCTTTTCACCATTCCCGATAATGGGCTTGTTGCACAGGAGAGCATTAAACAGGGCTGCTTCAGCAATTCTCAGACCTAACTTTTTCTCCCCATTAAGTAATCAATACAGCTGCCACCTTTTAAAATGCATTCAACCCCAGGACAACAGTATAGAAAAACACATTGAGGAACCAGAGGCCCATAGGGGAGTGGGGGAGGGAATGTGACTTTTGCTTGTTTCTGCCAGGGTAGCTCTGGCGGATTTCTGCTTGGGGATGCCATTGGTGTAACAGACAAGCCTGATTT